TTTTTTTGTGGTACCAGGGATTGAACTCAGAACCCTGCACTTATTCTACTGAGCTATCTCCCTGGGCTGGTTCAGTCCTCTTAAATCAATTTGACATTTGCAAATTGTTTAATCTTAGCAAAATATTGTACATATTTCTGTGTACCACAAAATAATCCTTTTAAATCAAATGCCAAGGCTTTCACAAGTTTTTACTCATGGGAAGGGAAAGAAGAAACTAAAAACAGCCAGTTAACTGGTGGCTACAGAGAAACTAATCCTAGATATGCCAGCTTATTTTTCCTGCAAAATGGAATTTTTTCCCCTATAAGAACAAAATCGAACCCAATATTACACACATCGTACACATGTACTGAAATGTGACACTTCAGCTAATAGGCACAATTACACTGTGTTTATTAAAAAAATACATTAAGAAAATTCACTAAACAGAACAAAGGGTTCATTAGAACTGATTTACATACATTTCATAAACCTTAGTCAATTAATTCAATCATGTTTCTCCTCTCTTTAGGGTCACTCTTCATTACAAATGTACATCTATGTCTTTTCTCTAGCTTTCAATCACTTCCTTGGTCTAATTTCCTAGTTTATAATTTGTTTCTCAACAATTTTTTCCCCTGTCATTTAAAATACAATGAAGTATCCTTACTACAGTCCCCATCAGCCTGCTTATTATATCTTTAAAAACAAGGGGCAGACGCGCTGGTGCACAGCTCTAGTCCCGGCACTGGGAGGTTGAGGCAGGAGGATCGTAGCACGTTTAAGGCCAGCCTGGATTACACAGTGAGTTCAAGGCCAGCCTAAACTACAGAGCAAGACCCTGTCTCAAAGCAAAACGATACAAGAAAAAAACTACCGCAAGGGCTAGGGATGGAAATTAGTATGAGTGTTTATCTAGCACATGTCAGGCCTGGGTTCTATCTTTAGCACGACAAACACAAAACAAAACACTCACTTCCATCATCTGTCAAGTTATTTAACTTTCCTAAGTTTCTTCACCTACAAATTAAGGATAAGAACTGACTAGCACTGTATTACTGCATGCCTGGCACTCAGCTGGTGGTAAGCTATTGAGGCAGGAGCAGTAGAGCGGGTTCAAGGCCAGCCTAGACTACACAGTGAGACCAAGGCTAGCCAGAACTACACCCTGAGACCCTGTCTTAAAAAAAAATCCAAACTCAGAAAAGTTCTTAAACTTTAAATATAGCAAGGTATGTGAAGTACTTAGCACAATGCCAAGCATAATGAAAGCTCACATTAAACAGAAGTTATTGCCATCATTGAAATCGTAAGTCCTCACTTCCCACATACTCCAATTTGAACCTTTTTGTCCCACTTTTAAAAGCTTGTATGACTGAGTCTCAATTTAATCTCCAAGCAAGCATACCCACTAGAATCAAACCAACGCATGCTCTCTTCCTCACAAACTCCAAACATTTCTGAGGCTTTAGAATCTCACGCACAACAATCTTCTCACTAGAACCACCTTTCATCTTCCCTTGGCTAGAATACCAGTTCCCTCAATTCAAATCCCACCTGACCCAGAGAGCATTTTCCAGCCACTTTTACTCTCCTCCATTCCTCCTGTTTCTAAAAGGGAGGTAATTTCATGTCTCCCAGCTTTCCTGAAAGCAAAGTGAATATAGATATTCCTCATTTAACAACCTACCTGTTGGATGAATGTTTGGACTTTCAACCTGCCACTCAAGACCTGAAACTCCTTTTTGGGGGGGAGGGAGGTACAGTGCTGCACATCTTTTTTAGAGCTTCAATGTCTTTTTTTGTATGGCACATCTTTTTATACATACTGTAATTTCACTAACTGTACTATAATGTACATCACTACAGCTTTATGTCCTGTTCTACACTACAGTACTATATGAACAAGTAAAAGTAAAGTCATCAAGCTAGAGTTTGCTCTGACCATTTCTTTGTTTTGAATATTGTAATGTTCATACTATATACAATGCTTCATTCAGCAATCAATTCAACTAATGACCTAACCATAGGACTGAAGCAGGGCCAGAATTCACTCATTAAAAGAGGAAGGTCTGTATTGCTTTTAGTATAAAGTGAGTGAATTAAGCTATTAATGAGTCAAGGTGGTTAAGTGGTGGTTAGAAGCCACCACTTCTAACTGAATTATCTCAAATCAACACTTTTTTTCTATATCCACAAAACATTCAACTTTCAAAAGTTGGAGGGGGTGGGGTTAAA